ATTACGATCCGGATCGTGACGCAAGAACTGTGCGTCATGAATCTTCTATGCTATCTTCCATGCGTGATGCAGATCTTCGATGGGCCGGAGATGTGAGGCCTGCATCACGGTCCAGGGTCGTAATTTCTTTCGAACACCTTCTTTAATGACGATCGTTGTCTGGTTTTGCTCTTATTTGTTGGTTTCCGCTGTAATAAACGTAATAAAACATGTTTTGTCACACTGTTCGTGTCATTCCTTTATTGTGTTTTGTGGCATTACTGCCTCGCCAAGAAAGCGTTTCCGACCATGTGTCCCTATGTGATTTTCCTTCGTCTAGGTGTACTCTATCTCTCCTGAATCTTTGTAACCGGTTTGCTGAAATACCCTGTATACATATATAGATGCCATATTTTTAAAAACGCATAGAAGAGGAATTAGGTTGCAATCGCCGTAGCTGAGGGTGGAGGCTTACAAATGAAGATAGTAAAACATGAATTTGAAGAATTTCCAGTCTTTATTTTCACACATATCCAATTAATCTGGCAGATAATTATTAAATCATAATTAAATATGATAAATTTCCATAGACATTGATTCTTAAAATAAGGACGCAGGCAGTTTAGACGGAAAAGCAAAGCGAGGAGTAATTAGCAAGGTGGAAACCAGGAAAAGAGTGACGCAGTTAACTGCCAGAGAAATTTATACCAAGTTTGATGTTACAAGTACAAACTTGTAACCAATCATAGTTACAAGTTAATCTATGATTGGTTAGTTAGTAGCGTTACATAACGTAAACAAAATCTCGAATTTGGGAGAACAGATGAATTTAGGGAGAGATCACCAAATCCAGAATATTAATTTTGAGGTTGCCAATTATTTTTTTTAAAGCAGCTATCGTATTTTGTTATATCTTACATATATATGTGTGTATGTGTGTAGAGAGAAAGTGAGCGCGACAGTTAGATAGATAAACATAAATATAGATATAGGGTAAATAAATATAGTTCTGAAATATAAATATTGATCATCTATAGTTCTGAAGTTGGTGTAAGCCCATACATGAGCTAATTTTCAAGCCGCTGTTTTTTCTAGGAAGGAGAAATATTGAGCAATCGCTATTTTGTTATTATGTGCTTTGTTCCGAATATTGCATTATTTACATGTGATTTCAGGCAATACCTGAATAATAGCCTATACTATGGTTTATCGAACTGTGTTTTATTAGGAGAGTACTGAAATATTAAAAATATGACGCAATCATGAATTACTTAATAATAACGCGCCATCGAACATTACTGTAGAGAGACACCAGCACAGAATACAAAACAGTTCTTAACGCAAGGTCAGACAGGGAATTTAACAGTTCCCTCTAAGTACCCTTGAAATATCATTCACTCTAAAGAGGCTGTAATTTGAATTTAAAATTATGACAGTTTGAAAATAAGTTGTTAGGACAATACAAATAGAGTGTAATAACTATTTTGATGCTTACAATGATACTAGATAAGTATCGCAGATTATTAATTTTTAAAAGAAGACTTGTTTCTTCGTTTCAATATCTGAAATCCAGGAAGCGGATAAAACTATCACTTTGTCATATTATTTATTTATACGTCATCTAACGCACACAAGCCCAGCCTGAGAAAACAACTGATTAATACAGGCTACGCTGATAAGTGTCATCTTATCTCTTTTGGAAAATATTGATACAAAAGCGCAAGGGAAAGAAAGCTTAGCAACTAACGGGTTGAGGCAGCACGAATAAAAAAAGGATTTCTTGATTATTTGATTATCTACGACCTGAATATTTTATTTTTGTTGACTTTAAAGACTTTGTTACTTTTGAGTTCAGTATATCCGATAAGCACTTGAATGAATTGGCTTGTGACGGTTGTAAACTTTGCACGTAGTTTCGTAAAGTATGAGATACGTTAAGAAATAAACAGAAATTTTCATATTCCGTTTTGTTACAAAGAGTTCAACCTAATCAATACTCACTGAGCAAAGACATAACATAGCTCGAACTTACGTGTCAGTGTCTCTTTCCTTCACTATTCTTACTTGCAATCAACATGCTGAAGGAAACGTTTCTCGACAGAGTTGCTCCATGAGTGGTCGTAAGATTTTTGACTAACGAAGGTCATTCCGTCTCATACTTATTCAGTTTGGTTCGTCATCAAGTTTTCATCTCTTCGGTCCACATAAAGCGTTTTCAGGACGCAGGAAATTCAAGTATAATGAAAAGTTATTGACACTGCTCAAGAATAGATCAACAAGCAATCAAAAACACTTTTATTCTTCTGGAACAAAGAAATGTCTTTGGTGTTAGAGAATGTGCATTGCAGTGGCGTAAATTATTTGGTTGTATTCAATAAATGCGGTTTGACTAACAAAATCCTATAGTTGGCAATAAAAGGACAAACGTTTATTTTAATACAAAACTTGATAACTACATGAAAAGGCTATTAAAAATTATTCGCACATTAGTTGTTGCTATGGTATCTTATTAACCGGTATCTTATTAATTTGTTATTGCTGTGGTATCGAGATAAACAGAACTAGGCTAGGTTCAGAAAGTAAACATAACTCCGAAAAAAGGTTAAAATAACTAGACCATGTTCATAGCTTTGGATATCTTTCAAAAATCTAAAACGAGGTCAGGCTTCCAGATAGATTCTGTGTAGCCAGTCAAATGAACGAGACAAGGAGTAGGAGAATCTGTTCAGCTATCCTTCTGTTAATCTTTACGATTACCAGATATCCAAAATAAGCTCGAACAATCCGAAATCTTTAATTATGTTCAGGATTTTGAAATGGGAATGATTACATGCCTAGTTAACCAGTTTAGCCCTCAATACACAAGGAGTTATGTTTCGAACTACGAGGAATATTTAATCTCCAGCAAGAGGCTCTGTTTATAGGTGACACTAGTAGCAGCTTCTAAACCAAAAACGGAATTTTAAATATTTAATTAGTGATTTTAATGAACATATGAAATCCAACAAGGAATTTCTGTTAAAAATATTATCTATGAAAAATATTCCAAGAATACAACATAAACTTTAGCTTTGGATTAATTATGGATTTTAAGTGTCAGGAAATTTTTATGGCTCTAATTTAAGGCAGCGATGAGATATGATGATATCACTGATTTGTCTAGAAAAAGCAAGCTCCGATATCTTGTCATATTCAAGTATAGATCGTACGCAATTTATACGTAAACGTATAAATTGCGTACGTATAAGGTTACGTATAAGGACAGCTTACTATGCTTATGCATTTAATATTTCTTCCTAGGCTAGGGGCTGTAATAATAAACTGGCTCTTGTAAACCTATAATTAAGTCTATTAAATTATTAATTTATTAACCTTGTTTTCCTATGAATAAACCAGGTCTTGTTAACTTCTTGCCATCTTTTTACTTATTGACCTGTTGTCACTTTTATTAACTTTTAGTCTGTCTGTAAAGACATTAATTTAACGTGTTGGATGCACTTATTCATACCAATGAAAACGTATATGTATGCATAATATGGACATTTCTGGCAAATAATATTTATGTTCCTAAGTTGAGGTGAAGAATAACAAGTCTTTCATCGAGAAGACTTTTCCTTAAATGTGCACGAAAACCTGGAAAATAACAGTAGTTAATAAGCTGTCAATATAAAAGTTTCATTTGAAACTTATAATTCAAAACGTACTGTCCCGACGTCAGAAAGTCCATTACAAAAAATACTTCGACACATATTTACTAATACAGTGAAACATCGGTTCACGAATTTAATTTCTTTTCTGAAAGTCGCTTGTCAACCGAAATATTCATAAAACGAATCCATTTTTCCATAGGAACTAACTTCGTTTTCCTGGACCGCAGATGATTGCTTATTTAAACTTTATCACTATACAATCTTAGCGCAGGTTTATAATTCAAAAACAATTGAAATCATTAAGCATAAAACAACAAAGATATAAACGGATTATTACGTGGATATTATTGATGACATCTTAGTTTAATTTTCCGTTCTTATATGGAAGAGAGAGGGGCGGCATAGCTAGAAAATGATGAGGAAGAAGTTAGTGTTTGGATGCAAAATTTCCTGCTATAAATAAAATGTTTCCGAAATGAGACATGGCAGTTACTAAAGATGCTTATGATGTAACCTGAAGCCGCATTATCAGAATGATATTGATACAAGATAGATTACATCTCACTCTATTTTGGACAAATTTTGCGGATCAGAGAACTAGGATCGTTCTTCTGTCTTTATCTTTTACTTATTTATTGCGGCTCTTTCTTTTGTTGAGCTCATATTCATGGTCCTAATAAAGTTTTCATTGTTAACTACTTAGCCTGTGACTTGCCTAGATACCTAGCATCACTGATAACAAGAAAGGCCCTCAAGGTCTGTCTGAAACCCAATCCGGCAACAATTTCTTTCAGAATTCACGGTTCTGTAAATCTCTTGCTGGAGAGTTAAGCAATGGAAAACATCAAAATGCTATTTCTAGAAGCCACTGAGTGTTACTTATGTGGCATAATTTACTTAAAAACTCTTTACGTTCTTTTAATACTCATATGTTGCCGACTTGAGTGTCCTTAACTTGAGACTTCATTTATCATCCGAGGAGTTTTGTGCAGATGATTTGTTCGGGAACCGAAATGTTTGCAAAATAAATCGTTTTGCGTGTTTCCAGTTATAGACCACACTTCTAACTTTCGAGTTATCGACTATAACTAAATCACTGTGTCCAGTATGGCTGGTATCTATTTAATGTTAACGTGTTATTGTCGGCATTTATGAAGACCCAGGTCTCGGTTGGGCTGTTCAGTTTCTGAAACCTGTTTTTCTGCAATGCTCGAACACACTGAAGAAAAACGTCTTCAGCGAGCTTCTACAGTTGCGTATCTTGTGAACTAATATCTTCTGCCGCTAGGTGGCGCTTCGAACATCTTGTAGTCGGAAAGGATACAAAAACTGACTTGAGCAGTTTGTTTTGTAGCAGCGCTTGGTTGCAAATCGAAGTACGGTGATTAAAGGCGGCATTAGCTCTGCTCTGAATAAAACACGTATTTGATAATAAATGTTCTTGTTATACAGATTTGCGAGTTTTACTACATGACTTTGCATGTGTCAGTTTTTGAATCAAAGTCGGATCTAAACAAGAAGTTCTTTCTGAAATTCGTTAGAAAAGCATACTGCTAAGCTTCGAAGGGTCGGATGTTGCATGTGAGTACAATAGAACTCCAGTTATCCTGAACTCTAATTACCCGGATCGCTAGGATAATTCTTTCTAGCAATTATTTTTGATTTCATTTACTTGAATTTTTTTGGCCTTTAAATGTGATTAAAAAATATATTTTATTATTATTCAGAATTAGTTTATATTTAATTAAAAATTATGGTTTTAAATGTAATATAAATGGATATATTATTATTTAGAATTAATTTATATTTTTAATTAAAATTATTGTTTTAAATGTAATATAGATGGATATATGATTATTATTATTTAAGATTAATTTACATTATTAGCTAAAAAATTACTGTTTTTGTACCGGCAGTGAAATAATATGGTTTGATTAACTTTAGTGGACAAAAAATAGATTATGCATTTTATTTTGTTACAGAGGTTCTTCCCACATTTCTTAAACGATTTTCATTCTATTTACAGAAATATTTCTTATGTGTTTTAAATATTCCATTTGATAATTCTTAATCTTCACTAACTTTTAAGCCTTTTTCAGTATCAAAAGAGGTATTTTATCCCATTCCTCTTGAACAGATTTCCAGAGTCCAAGGAGAGTTGTCGTTTGAACGACGTTTCCACAATTCGCTTTTTAAACGTACAAAAATGCAAACAGCCGTGTATGATATATCAGGAGATTTAGTAGGGATATGAAAGGTGTGGCCTAGATACCTGTTTCTTATTCCGTTTTTTCTAAGAAATTAAGAGTAGATTTTTGACGTGCGACTGCTTGCTTTGTCTTGATGCAGTACTACTGATGAATGGCACTGTGGGTAAAGCGAAGGTATTTTTTATTTGGAAATTGAGTATAAAATATGTTCCTGGTAAGATGTGGAGTTGACCCTAACAGTTTCTGCGCTCTCTTTAATTTATATTTGCCGTTATATCAAAAACCAGCAACAATCATAAGTCACTTTTTTACCTTCTTTAGATTCTTTTAAATTCATAATAATAGATATCTTTTTATTGCGATCATTTAAATATACCTAAGATTCACCTATTGGGGCAACATGTTTCCATTTTTGTTCGAATAATTGTTTCTCATAGAGAATTCTGCAGCGCGTTCTGCTTTCGGAGATATGTCGTGGAGAAAGACGATTCACATTACGTTTTTTCGCCTTTTAAGATTCAAATCAGCATTGATCACTTTGTTTACATCTGACACTGAAGATTTTAATGATTATGCAACTGTCCTTTGACTTATTTTTTTTTAACATTAAAGTTCTTACCTTTGCAACATTCCAAACATTCCGTTTTTTCCTTGGATATATATAGTGAAAACTTTTTCTACTTAAAGCCAAACTTTGGCTTTGTTCCCTTTCTTATTGACAATGTTATCTATCCTTGCCTTAGATACCAAAACAATTATAGCTTTCATAGCAAGATACCGAAAAATATAGCTTTCACAGCAATTTTTAATAACTAAATGCGAATAATATTATTCGGAAAGAGCACAAACATAACCTCCCGTCCATTGCTTCTTTAAAAGCGCCATTTTGCATGAAAACAAAATTGGCAAGTAGCAGACCATAATTTGCACTTTCAAAAATAAAGTTGCAGCTGAAACATTTTTCCAAGCAGGCGTTTTTTTAGCAAAGCAAAATTTTCTAAAAAATGTCCGAACAGCTTCTGTGTTCATTAAATGTAAAACCCCAAAACGTTTGCCCTAACCATTTTTAATCAAAATAGCTTCACATGAAATTTAACCTGAAGGACTAGACTCCGCCCCTTTTAAAGTTAGTATAATTACGAAACTCAGATAATAATTAAAAAAATAAGTTAATGAATTAAATATTGTCAAGTAAATATTTATATTATAAACATTAATAAAACCAAATGACAAAAAAAAAAAAATATGTTGCGTATGGTGATCCATGAATTTCCGAAATTTCGGTGAATTAAGGCACTTGAAGAAATCTTTCAGTTCTCTCTTTTCTGATAAACCATAGTTGTAATTTTAATAAGCAAAAGTTTAAAAAAATCGTTTGAATTTTGCTGATTTTACTACACAAATTTGTTAGAAAATAGCGGAAAGGAAAAACCCGGTCATGTTTTCATACGTCAAAAAAGTCGCCGGCAGGTAATTTAAAGTCTGGAAAAGACTGCAAACGCGGAGAAGAAATGACGCATGTTAACCCTTTTTTGAAGCTTACATAAAAAGAAAACGTTTTTCATTGTTTTATTTTAAATGTAATAGAATACGGCTGTGGTTTCGTCAAATAAATAATATTTCATTGCTTTTTAATTATGATGAAAAAAGAGCATGTTTTATATTCGTTGTACGGGAAAAGATAAGTTGTATCTTTTTAAATTAACTTTTTTATAAATTTATTACTGAAAAAAAATAATTTTTTAAGCTTATTTAATTTTAACCCAACACTGTCTTTTTTTTTTGACAGAATGCAAGAAGCGCAAAAATAAAAGTCTGTCAATTACAATGAACTCTCACTCTCTGAAAATGACCATTATTCCTAAGATTATGAAAAAGCTTCACTTCTAAACATCAGCTCTTGTAGACGAGCTATCCAATAATCTAGACTCTTGGATGGTCGTCTTAGAATTCATAATATGTAGCTTGCAAAAATTGACAACCTAAGTCAGGCATTTGTGATTAACCGGAGGCTTTGTGGATCCTTTCAGCCTGGATAACTGGAGTTCTACTGTATTGCTATTTGGTAACAACGGTTAGAAAGATCCGAAATGTAACTGATGTTGATGAATATAAAACAAAAAGTATTTTTATTATCATGTATGTTTAATTTGTAATTTTTAACATTTTCTTTCATATGGATAATGGCATGTATTGTTCAAAACCTCTTCTGACCGTTATCAACGGAATCACGGACAATTTAAGTATGTATTCGACTATTCGAATAATGGGATTTTTCTGATAATTAACTACATATTACTAGAATTTATTGTTCATGTTTTGTGATGCCATATGTAAGTTTTTGTTACATTTTTGTGCGTTTTTTATCTATGGGCCAAAATGAAATACATAATATCGAAAATCGTGCCTATTATTTAAAATTAAAATACATACATATGATTTTTTTCGGAATTTAGGGAAGCAAAACTAAACATTTTAAAATTACCATATTTATTATCGCAAGAAAGTTGCGAATTTCTTAGTGTGATGGCATATAATTTCAAATGTCTGCCTTCTTACTAGATTGCCGCCGTAGTTTTAAAAAATTGTTTAGTGTATAATGAGTTTTATAGCGTAATGTACTGACATAGATGAACATTTCTCGTCAAATCTTGTTAAAATCTAAAATACTTTGTTAGCTTCCTTCCCACGTTATTTTCTTGCTAAGTATGTCATTTTCATCTTCACCTCTCTCACCTCTTCATCCTCTCTCACCTCTTCATCCTCTCTCACCTCATTATCGAATTTGTCCTTTTCCCAGTACATATCCGATTATTTCATTGTAACATGTGTATAAATAGAACTGTCTACGTCCACTTTAAACCTGCACCACCTCTTTATTGATGCTAACCTTCTGAGAACATACAATTAAATAAAAGATGTCGTCTACGGGCACCTAACGTGTTTTAAAATCAAGAGAATCTCCGTCACCCGACTCTTCACCTACGAACATGATCGTAGGCCACAAATTACGGCAAGAGCTAAGCAATGTTCTGTACCGTGTTTCCAAAGTAAATCTATAATCTCTCAATGTGAGCATTTTCTGAAAATTATAAATACTACCTTCCAATTTCCCACATCGACACATAAAAAGGGATCGGTAGTTCATTTTTATACTATTTTAGATCAGGGGTTCTCAAGCAGAGGGAACTAATTCCCCACTACCACCAAGGTGTGGAATTTCATAGTTTCAAGGGGGAACGCAGACAGTTGTCTATTTAAGCATTTAGTTTTTAATTTTAGTTTATGAACATAAAAATAGTACTTTTATTCAAGTTTTGGTATTTATCAATATTTTCTATACGTTTTCCCTTTAATTTATAAAGCACATTAAAGGATAATCTAAAACATATATATGTATTTTTTGGGTTATGAAAAGGAAGGGTGGAAGATATCCTCTAGCAACTGTGAAAAGGGTGCAAGGGGCGAAAACGTTTGAGAACTTCTTTTCAAGATAAATCCTTAGTCCACCAGTTAAAAGAGGCTTGTTACGTTGTGTAGCGGAAAGATAAGGTAGATGTTTTTCACAATTAAATCTCCTTATGTTAGTTAGTTATATATTTTTATATCAGAACCTTAAATTTTGTCTTTAAGTTTAGATCTTCAAATGCGTTTTAATTTTGATATTACCGGTTACGAGAGATTTTGCACCAAAAGAAATCTTCAGTGGTGGCTAACTGAGTAAAAATTTGTACACTATTACTTAAGTTACGTAAGAAGTCAAGAAGTACTCATAAGTGAGAAGTACTCTGTTTCAAAGTAAGAATACCGCCTGATAGCTCAATGGCCTAATATACAGTTTTAATGTTTATTGTTGGAATAACTTACGAAATGATATAAATACCTTTGTGATGCGACTTAAATGTGCTTTTATTGGAAAAGAGATAAAGAAGATGTACCAGCCTATATCATCCCAGTATACATAGGATCGCATCAAAGGCGTAAGACCATTAAACTTTGGAGGTAATCTTAATGATTATTCTGTCATTAATGAGGTTTTCATAAGATTGATGAATTACTGAAAGAAATGCCTTTGTGATTTCATAAGCGAAAGAACAATTATCTTCAGCAAAACTCGCGAAATTGCTTTATTTATTTCCTTAATCCGTGCTGTAGGAATTGTGAAAAAGTAAATAATTACAAGCTATTTTAAATTTCACTGAAAAACTTAACTACAGGTATAAAATGCTGATTATTACAAGTTGTGAAAGTTTTGATGTAGGTATTGAAACATGTTTTTGATTCAGCGATATCTGTTGAACAAAACTGATGGAAAATTGCTATAGGCTCAGCACAAGAATGATGGAAAAAAGATGGAAACAGGAAGTCCTCTTCCTATTAAACAATATCTTCGACTAATCCACCCTTTTCAGAATAAGAGTAGGCTCAGCACAAGAAGCGAACTGACATCTTCATCAAATCACCTTGCAATTCCTTTACCGAACATTGGCTTCATCTATCTGTTTCGTACTTTTAGAAAACGATATCTCAAGATTTTGTGAAAATTACAGCCATCTGATTGATGTTGGGAGGGGAAGTAAGCTATTTGTTTCAAAGAGCGGACGTTCAGGCTATTCTGAATAAAAAGAAATGCTTTCCAGCTTACAGCAAAGATCAGTTGCTAGTAAATAGAGAACAGTCCCAAACATACTGGAAAGGCAACATCACTATATTCATATGTGTTGAAAATGTTACCCAACACGACAGTTCTTAAAAGTGTAATGTTGACCAATTTATAAAACTGAGTTTTGAAAAGAAATATTCTTGAGTTTATTGACAAATTCAAATGAGCTAAGAAATGCACGCGTATGTATAATATTAAATCAAGAAAAGAAACTATCTCGTGAAATCAACACCAAGCTTAATTTTACAAACTGAAATGATTTTTTACAGTGTATTACCGGGACGTAACGAGGAAAATTTTAAAACTAAACACGTACCTTCAGGATATGATGGCAATCGAGCAAATGATAAACTATATGAGGAATGAAATGTCAGTTTTATGAACTTTGGGAATGTTATAAAGTATAGTATAATTATCAGTGGATGGAATTTGCGATTTGTTTAACTGTGGTGGATATGACAGATTTAACATCGACTTTAGCTCGAGAAATTTTGGAAGCTGAGGAATCTGTAGAGACTGATAAATGTGAAAAGATTTTGATTGAGATATATTTATGAAAATCGCTATTGCGTTAGCAAACATGTTTTTGTCCATGACAACGATATGACCATCGTTATCAACTTTATAAATAATAATATTTGAATTAGAGTGAATTTCAAGTGAAAGATTGTCTTTCTAAGATTAAAATAATGTGATTTATTGTTAAAATTTAAGTTTTGAGTGTTTTAAGGGATAGATAACTCCTTTCCTCGTTTCTGAAATTTGTTTGAATTTAACTGCCTTTTAGATAAGGTTGGTCGGGGAAATGAGGTTTAAGCGCTATCAAAAAATTAAACTTATATTAAATTATTATTTTTCTATCTTTACAGAGAACACGATATTAGCAATGGAATTAATTAGCTTTTGCTGCCAAGTGACTCTCACAAGGAGTATCATTAACTTATAAGGTATTTCTTCCGTCTTCTTAGCATGCCTTCCTGGTGTAGTGGTCAGCACGCTCGACGCGTATTCGAGAGGTCCGTGGTTCGGTACTCGGAGAGTGCATTGCTCATTTTTCAAGTCTCCAGCTTTCAAAAAATACCTAATGTCTCTACAAACTGAGGAACGAGTTTTCGGAATCTTAGAAGAAGAGAACTTTTATGAACTAAGAAGAATCACTTGCAAGTTATATTTGCTTTTATGTCCTTAAGAATCTAGAAAAATTTCATTTGTTTATTTTTCTTTATGCATATAATTATGCATACTCTGCAGTTTAATACTGCTGGTGCTAGGAAATGTGCCCCTGGGCAAGTTCTACCAAAACATTTGTTTCGTACACGGTGAAATGCATGCACATTTTGCATGGTATGTTATAGCACAACTTAGCCATATATAAGGCATCAAGTGGACTGGATAATGTGAAACACACATCACATGAATATTTGGTCATTTGATAGGAATCTAATAGATTTTTCTTTTGGAAATATTCGTAGGCGTAAACATATGCCCATCCTCTTGATACGCCAAACTCCAGCAGTTTAATGGCCAATGTATATACCGCGATATCCTTAGAAACTATGAACGTACCTACCGGTCTGTAGAACATGCTACCACTTATGTCACAGCTAAATTGTTCCCATTTTGAACACTTACGGAAATAAATGTCCATACTTTTGCATCTGTATACGTCTTCTTTCACTCATTTCATTGTATTCTGTTCCATATTTACTACATATTGCACGTGCTGCAATCTGTTTTTTTTTTCTAGCAACTCGTTAAAGAAGTATTTTCTGCTTGCCTTAGTCCAGTAGTCTTAAGCTCAAATTACATGCGGGCTCAGTGCACGGCCTAATAACAGCTGACGGTCCAGCACTTTTTAAGAAAATGAAACATTTTATTAACAAAATAAAAAAAATTAAATAAATTTCAAATTCGCCTGCTAAATATTTATCAAAGCATACATGGACAGTTATCAGAATGTCGCAAAGAAACAATTAAATTTATGTTTATTTTCTGTCTGAAATCTAAACTTTGGTGCCTGTAAGATATTTCTGTTGGTTACATTTTGTAAGTCAAATAAATTGACAGCTAAACATTAAATTCTTAGACTGAAATTTCTTTCAAATAATTCTATTATGTTTAATTATTCATTAAACATGAATTAATAACTGGCTTTAGTAATAATTAAACAACTGGCTTTAGTTTTAAACTTAAAATTAAAAAAATGAAATATTCAATTTTTCTTCAATACGTAAATACAAATATACATGTTTATATTTACAGAATTATAAAACTCTTTATTTCTTACTATAGTTTGACAGCTGATGACGTTTAGATTCTGATAAGGTCTGTAACCTTGGAAAGAAATTGCTAGGAATTATCTTCATCAGATTGCAGATACTCATTGATCAATCGAGTCCTTCTGATTAATTTTCAACTATGAAAAAAATCTGTTCACATATTAATACACTCTGAAACAAAGCGATTATTCTTTGCGCAAAAATTCATGACCAAGTGTCATTATTTTTTTCCAAGTATGAGTAAAGTTGTACCTTTAGATGTCTGAATAACATTTATATCACATTATAATTAATTAGCTCCATTTGTAGATTTCCTGGTGCCTTATTCATTTTCGTTTTTAATGGAAATAAAAATGATGTAAACCTTGATATCAAATGCTAAAATTTTGAAATCCTTGCATCAAATGCATAATTGAAATATCTTCAGAGGCTGCATTAAATGGTTTCGGAGGCCGCCAGTTTCAGATCACTGCCTTAGGCCAGTATAATACCTTATTGGTCGTTGGCCATTCAACTGTGGAACATCCTGATTTTACTAAGCTAACTGATTCGAGAGGTAATTTCGAAAATTTTCAATGATTCGCAGTGTACTGATTACTAAACAATTCAGACATTCTGTTGGATGCCACGCTGAAACACTGTATCAATTTAGGGCAGTCATGAGAGAGACTGATTATTCAAATACAATTGAAATTTCAATCATATTCTTGTTTTGGTCAATTATTCTATACTGGGATCAGTAAAAGTAGTTATTCCAAAGTTCTGGGGGGAAATGTTTAACGATTTCTTAGGTTAGGACCCAAAGATTCGAATGATCTCAGTATGTTGATCTTAATGTTAATTGTGCAGAGAAACAAAATTACTTTTCCAGCAAAAGCCTAAACTTAATAGCTTATTTTTAAATAAATATTTTTTCTCGAATAACAGTTATGTGTAGTGCGCGCTGACGTGTATCATTTAATTTATTCTTTCTAAAAGCCTGCTCATGGGTTAAAAAAAAGCATTCAATTTTCTTTTAAATAATGTGTAAGGATTATGTTAATTTTATTAACAGTTAAATTTTCAGTTAAAGTATGAGTAAAATAAGGTCAGTTAGTTGCCCGTTAGTTTTTTTTCCCCAACTATGAATTATCATAGAATTCAATTTTTAAAAACTTTAATATTTTCCCTTTTTTTGTGTAACTGCTTGCGCCAAGAACTCAAATAGACTCACAACTAGGCCGACCTCAGCTTAGGACCTCCATAATAGGTCCTCCAACAGCTGGGTCTGTCAGACAAACTCGCAACCAATGAGAATGTAATTCACTTCTCTGCCGCCCGTCTCACACTTACAGGTGACAGACTCTAAAATGTCTCTCAATCTCTCTATCACACCCATTGCCGAACTTTCTGAACTCCCGTTCCACACTTACAGGTGATAGACTCTAAAAAGTCTCTCAATCTATCTTTCAAACCCATTGCCGAGCTGATCAACTGGGGTTACCACTCCCGGCGATAAAAGACCAACACGGGGCGCGGCTGTATAAAGCTGAGGATTTGACTGATCGGTCAAAATGCTTCTGCCGCTACTACGTGGGCAACTGAAGGATTATATAGAAATTCGGTGGACAACGGATTAGCTGTTGCACAGCTACTGACACCTAAATGGAATTTCACAGAATTTGGATCGAACAGCAAGCCGTGACCAGTACCGATTTACCCCTTTGGAGACTTAACAGACAAGCCTTCCTTTGTCCAATCATATAGAACAATATTCCCTTGAGGTCCTTAAATACAGCTCCTAGCCACTACAATAAATGACTGACGGGGGCATTTTCTGTACTAGTTTGACCAACTCGTTAAAACTGCGTTATTTCCAGAAACAGCTTCTCAAAATATATTACTTTTTTATTATTATTTAGAAATAGATTAAACTTAAGGCAATCATTCCTTTTCAGGATTTCAGAGGTGACTGTATTCACCCTTAAAGATGATTTTTTCTTTTTTAAGGAAAGAGTTAATATTCCAAGAAAGATAAGCCAATCAAACCGAGTAAGTGTATTTTCTTCATTATAGCTGCTTTTCGATTTTCACCCTACAAACAACAAAATTTAAATCCTTACATGTATATTTAAACGATTGGCGTTTATTTCGTAAACAAGAGGGTTCAAGTCAAATTATTTATATTAAATTCATTGGTGGTTTCATTAAATGATGTGTTAAATTTTCCGAAAGGAGCGTAAATTGTCAATCTTATGTGTAAATCAGTTTTCAGGATAAAATTTTCACGCGATTATATTAAAAATGTATAATATAGTATTCTAATGTCAAATGACAAATAGCTGCTGAATTTGAGTCTTCAATTCATTATCTAACATCGGTTTATTTTTAAAAAATGCTTCAACCTGACAACTACCGCCTAAAGTTGGGTTTACAAATTAAAGGTGTTCGTTAAACATTTGTTTGGGTGAAAATATACGAGTCAGTGCTATACAATATGCATTAACGTACAGTTTATATGAATAGGTAACCTGGCATTGAACTATTTCAAAGAAGTTGTTAAGTTGTTTGACTTCTGAATTAGTGTTTCAAAAGACTGTAATGCAAACAGTAGACGTTGTGTTTGGTCAGAACACTGCATAGAAGTTGTCAGTATTAAAATATAGTATATTCTCGAATTTCTGAACGACTGTTTGCAAGCTGTTAAAATGTATTTGGATCAAAGGAATGACTATTTGAACTCGTTAAAATTTCCTTGGTTAGATCTGCCTTAAATTCTGGGGGGGGGGAGGGGCAATATGCAAGTGTATTGAACGAAATTTTTCGGACATTTTGGATTGCTGTTCCTGTAGTTCTTGAATTTTATTAAATACGAAGGACATATCCTGAATTTTCCGAATGAAGAGCCTGCTGCTGAATACCAAATTTATATTAACGAATGATTCGAAAGTTGTCTATAGTATTTGAGTATTAATATGTTGATAAGTAAATCGCATAGCATGTAAAATAATGAAATGTCCGTGCAAAATTTAAGGCTATAATTCAATGTTGCTTAATTTATGCAGGTTACAATATAATGTTTTTAAGCATATTTAGTGAATAAATTATGTTAATCAAAATTAGTTCCTATTAGTATTTAGATAAAAGGTGAATACTGGCACACTTAATGCTGACGTTGGCAAAATCAACGACTCAGTCTTTTTAATTTCATTTATCTTATTACTACTACCGTTGGTATAAATTTTCGAAAACGTTTACTTTCAGACTCGAGAGAAAAATGAAGAACATTAAACCTACAGAGTTATTAGGTTATTTTGAAGCAGGAGACATGAGAAATGAGTAATGACTTGGCCATGAGTGGAACCTGGACCTCTCGAATACGCGCCCAGTGAGCTACCGTTACACCACGGAGCCATGTTGGAAGCAAGGAGAAAATAAGGCTGTTTATTAATTAACACGGTTATCTAATAATTTTGCCTAAAATACCACTTTTACTTTTGCTCCCACCAGGATGAAAACTAGATAAGTGCAGAGTTCTGGAGTTTAGGAGAGAGCCTTTGGTAGCTTTCGCTGACCGGTTACTCTGTTACACATCACTACTACTGAATTGCGTTTTGGCTTGAGCTTCACTAGCCACATTTGCTTGACTATTTAGTCAAAGTTTGTTTAGGTGTTACTTGTTACTTTAAATATAAAGTAAGTAAATAATAATTAGCAAATAATAGACTAAAATACCATAAAGCTTAAATGAAAATGAGGAAATTTATGAAAAATTAAAATGATGCAGTTAAATGAAATAATTAAATAAATGAACGGTAATTGATTTTATTATGACAAAGCATAATACAGTGGAAAAATTTTAGGCCTGGTGTTCCTTTCTCTTTTTCTCTCTCTTTTTTAATTGCCGGATACTTCTCACGTGTTATGAACAGACAAACTAATCAGTCATTTAGCGTCTTATCACCAAGAACGTTGCATCGTGTACACTGCTACAGGTGTCTGACATTACGCTCGCGAAAACCGAAAGAACACATAAATATTCAAGCTTTTCATGGGATTCAAACACTTATCCTACGATTAAGATTAGCAGTCGGATTCCGCTAACCACTACACAGTCCAAGGGAACAAACAATAAAGCAAAAATTAATATTTTATTAGAATTTATTGCACAGAGATACAGTAGACGTTGTGTTTGGTCATTTAGCGTCAAACAAAAATCTTTTTTTCTTTATTATTATTTTGGCTTCTAATCCCTTTAAAGACATTTTGACGGAATGAATACAATCCATAAAAATCCCTCTTTCCCATGGGTTTCCAATTTGAGAATGAGGATTTTGGTCCTCAGCTGGTGAAGTTTTCCTACACATTTCCTTTTCCCAAGGAAATTGAATCGTTCTTTCTGTATATAGTATCCGTATCAGTTTTACTGACTGCTTAACCAGAGGTGACATGAATAGTGTTGCGTGCGTACGGGTTCGTAATAAACTGAATGCACAAGTCCGATGAAAAGTGAATAAAATTTGTTATTATCACAACAAATAAAAAATACTTAAATTTTCTCAGATATTCCCACAATATTGAAATATATCACAGTAGTTATCTTTTATACTACTAAAACGTTCAACAGAACTTAATTCAAAACAGAGAAAGCTAATCCGATTTCACCGCGGATTCGCTACAGTCATTAACAGCAATATGTAAACAATTGAATTGAGATGTTTTGATCCCGCTTTTATAAGCTTTTTAAATGTGCACGAGAATATTCTGGTATTTTCCCGATTCCCGAAAAGCAAAAGTGTACAATTACGAGATATCTATTTATTAAATGTGCGAGCTTCTCTATTTTTAATTTTTTTGGCGTAGCTTTCTCTTCAAATAAGTCTCGTGCTGAATTGCACGAGTAAAACAATTTTAATTAATTCTATTTAAAAATAGCTAAATCAATACAAAAACCGTAACAATATTTTCTGTGAATATTGCAATTCCATTCTATAGAGGAGTATTGTCTTATTTAAAGCTCTAGCACACCCTGGCTAGAACTACGATTTCAGTCAAAACATTTAGGATAATCGAAATCGGACATCAGTTACATTCAAGCATTGATCAGAGTGAAATGTTTCATGTCTTAAGACAGTTGCTAATGACACACTAAAATTATTAAATTCAAATCTTCCAACTAACCATGGCAAAAGAACATTTCTTTAACAACGTAAATTATTAATTAACTTGTTTTGTTGCATTAGGGAATTCCCGTATGTCTCGGGTTTTTACCTTATACCAGCGGACTGCGGCCAAGAAAAATTTATAAGTTTCTACGTTCATCTGAAAAGAAAGTGCATGAAACATTTCAATATGGAATGAAATGAGTTCATTCTTTCCAAGCAACAGCCAGTTCGTAAACAATTTTTTGGTTGCCAAAACCAGGAAACGAAATTTTCGACACTTCAGGTTAATACGTATACGTATGACATCATGTGTTAAATTTAATGTAATATAAAGCATTTTCTCAATATCAATAAAAGAATTAATGGGACAATAACATACCGTACATAACCAATTTTCCTGACTTGAAACAAAACAAGTTGCCAGCATCAGCCATTTATTTAAAATGCTGACATTAACGAAAAAGTTTCGAAATGCAATGACGTCACATGCAATCGCCTGCTTTCTTCTACTTCAGAATATGACATTATATAATAATAACATATTTAGTGTTTGGCAATGCTATTTTTATTTCATATTTTATAAAATTTACAATTTTTTTAACAAAGTCAACGATTTGAAAGCGAGCAGTGGCAACACTTTTCGAAATAAAACATTTTTATCTCCAGCGACTCCCGAGAATGTTGCCGCTCGGAAAAGTGAGTGCCACTATTAGTGTTTCAGAGTTTTTAATTAATATCTCGGTTGATTAAAATCGTACGAAGATGACAATGGTCGAAATGACTTTCCCTGCATTTTTGGAATCCGGGCGTAACACTGTCGAACTCCCCGCCTTTCCGGAGGAGATGATACCACAAACAAACAAATAAACTAACAGATTTTAATACTGCAGATGTTACTACTGTAATGTTGCTACGTTGGCAAAACTAAATATCATGTGAAAAATGTAAAACTCGCGCATAAAATGTGCTCGCTTGAAGATCCTCGCGCTGGAAATGTTTTCCATGCGTTAGAATATTTTTTAGATTTTGGTAAATTGAAAAATAAAATGCCTGGATGTTCGACCGAAATGAAGAAATTCTTTTAAAAGCGCATACTACCCTGAATATGCTCATTACGTTTCGTCGTTTTAAAGTCATTTTTATTATTCAGAGAATGACCAGAATAACATCGATTGAATGAGTCCTTTAAATACCTTTCACTGCATTTTCAGTCAGGCTTCAAATTTCTCCAAAAAAAAAAAAAAAAAATGCTTCGTTATCAAACGAAACTTTTAAAGAAGACCAGAGGAATAAACATCTTTAAAATAAGCCAGCTTTAAATAAATAACTTTGAACTCATATGTACAGCACAGTGTAAACTTAAAAACAAAACATTTGTCTCTGTATAATAATAAATGCATAATAATAATGCCTAGAAACTTCGGCTTTCACGTTGCGAAAGGACTTGAGAAATGGTTTTTCCCTTTTGTAAAACACATTGTATCGTTAATGATGCTAGTATTTGGACAGCATGCAGAGACAGAAAATTGACATGATAGCGCAAGATTCGTTTTCTACGAAATTTACGATTGTAAAAAATAATAATTAATCAATGCTTCAAGTTGTATACATAAATTAATTAATAAGATTTTTACTGTAAGACTGAGTTAAAAAAATAATAATTCTTTTTTCACAGTTTCAAATTGGCCTCCGCTGCATGCATCTCATGCTCTAAGATGACACCCCTGTTAAATACTACTTTCTGTATCTTAATCTGCTGCATTTACATTATTTTAGGTTTTTATTCTTTTGTTCTTTTGTTCAGTCTGCTTCACGCCTTGCATCTAGAGGAAAAGGTTTCTTCATGTACGTTCTTAGGTATGTACAACATCTAAACACAAATGAACGAGCTTATAATTAAATATATGTTAAATGGGTATTAACAGTTTTAACAAAATGGTAAAAAAGCAAGGGCGGAAGTTATGAATTCTTCTACAGAAAACCAACAATTTTAAGTGTTTCAGTTCTTTTAATTCATGTTGCTTAAAAGTATATATAATTTTGCATTCAAATGAAATTATTATTTATTGAAATAAGTATTTAGTTTCGATATTTTTTAACATAAAATCTACTGTTATGTTTGAGAAAAGTTTGTTTGAAAAATAAATATTTTTTTAAACAAGTCCTTTGAATTTGAGCAAAAAATTCTTTAAATTTTAGGAAACGAAGTATTGGTAATTGTCCAAGTGGCGCGAACGTTAAGATATAGGGACGGAATCTTTGTCGAGATTCGAAAACTCGAATGTTCACACTTTTTCACATTTGGAATATTTCGAATGCTAATTTAAAAAACTGTTAAATGTTTCAAATAAAATCTTGAATTTGTTTTCCCTGGATATTAAAGCGTTTAATAAGAAAACGATGACTGATCACTTGTAAGGTGTATTTTAAGCTTTTAACAGTTAATTTTGAGTTAAAGCCACTTTCCCATCCATCTTAATTTCAGCTTACAATTTCCTGCCAGACATGTTTTCAGAATCGCGGTTAAATGTAAATGAAGGAAGAGCAAATATTTAAAGTGGAATTTCGACTGACTTCGTTAGATAGCCAGAGATTCTGACCAGCGCGAGTTCGCCTTTTGGCTGTATTCTCTCTAAAGCTATTAGACTTTAGGCCCCTGATAGCTTCGGTTAGTTAGCATTAAGGAGCCAACTCCTGTAAAATTATGATAGCTTCGGCTATATCTCTTTAGTTTAGTTAAGTTTTATTTCTTAGCATTCTTGAGTTTAAAGCCCAAGTAGAGGCTTTGCTGTACGTCCTGAAAGAGGACCGACTGTGAACTTTATTTGAGCAATAAAAGGTAATTAACTTTTCGTGAGTTTACGTTTCTATCTTTCTGAACTAAGCGATTATTCGCTTACCATTTCTTAAAGTTCTACACATTAACTGTAAATTCTAGGTTGGTACATTACACACTAAAACGAGAATGCCACAAAGAACTGCTGTGGAAGCTTGGGACAGCTTTCAAGTAATCTGCGCGTTCTGTTTCTTAGAAACTTTTCGATATTAAATCTCAAATATTTCACTCTGGACAAGATATATACTACAGAAATACTATGTAACGTATTACTGTTAAGTCCTGGATCGTTTTAGCATATTATGCATACTGTACGAATGTTACAACGAGTGAGAACCACTCTGTCAGTTATTGAATTTTGAACTGTAATTCGCCTCATTAACGGCCGAAAAACTGCTCAATACTGGTAGTTTTTCTCGGGCTCAAAAAAACCAGGTGAACGCGATGGCTGCGTATTTAGTTTTTGTAATTTTTTCTGCAACAGGTTAGCTGTTGTATAACGTTACTCATAGTATAAAACACAGAACAGTTTATATTGCTTGGCAGGTTGTAGCTGAAGTAGATAAAATCAAATTCGTATTATTTTTATAAAATAACAATCTAAAACAATGCCAACTCAAGAATTTTGTTTTTCAACCCAACGGATGTTTCACTTTTTACTCCTTTCTCTAAAGGGCAGGCCGAAGCACTACAATATGAAGATGAACATAACATATCTGAGATGAATGACACAAGAATGACAAGTTAGTCTTTTCTTCTCAACGTTTCCTGATGCAAGGCCGTTGTCACGACATTTCATTAAAGGTCAGATTTTGTTACCTTGCACATCTGTTGCCTAGCTTCAAAACCCAGATGCATTAAGCGGATGTTATTTGATGGCTTTAATAGAATTTACATCCGGAGTACGAGTTCAGATTTTTAGTCCAAAGGGATTTGAATCCCGAAGGACTATTAGTTTCGTTTTGGCATTTTGCGTCGGACTCATAAATGTCGGTTCACTTTTCAAACTGTTGCCACAAAATGTTAGAGTCCTGCATTATATTTGAAGAAATTAAATAATGAAAAATCTGCATAAATGTATGTATATTTCTCGTATTGTGATAAAACAACGGTACATAGAGTCATCGAATTTTGAATAACGTAATCCTCCAACGAATATGAGCATGTGGAAGACCAAATTTGAAATTTGAAATTTGTTTTATGATCGATTTCCTATTTTTTAAAACTTTGACGAATTTTTGATTAACAAACTCAAGGATTTCAAAGCGAGCAATGGCAACGTTTGTGCAGAAAAAACATTTTTTATCTCCAGCGCGTGAGTCTCTGTATCGGAAATTCTAAAGATATGCTCGTTTTAAAACTATTTTGCGATATTGCTGTTGCACTGGATCTTATGGTTTAAGTGCGAGGAACATGATATTTAATAAAGAAAGGTAACACACAAAATGTTAAAAAACGCCCCTTTGGACGTAATTTAAAATCTGAAACATTTCAGATTTTTTTTTTTTTTTTCATATTGTAACAGAGTAATCATTAACCATACCATCGATTTACGTATTTGAAGATGCTAACCACCCCTGGTAAATAAGTAACCTGGAATGTAGGTGAAATATAATAAACCTACGTAAAAATACACAGCATAACATTCTTAAAGCAGCTAACTATAATTGCACAAAACAGGTGTTGGGTTCGTACGGGTTCGCAATGGATTGAAGGCACACAGAATCCAAGATAGCTTGGTACAATTTATTTTACCAAATTAACGCTTTACAGTTGTGGAGCTTGCCACAAATGTACAATCAGTAGTTATCACTTCAAACTACTAAGAACGTTAAACACAAACCGTGCAAAGCGCCCCTAAAGAGCGAAGCTTGCACCGAGATCTCTCAGTATTCCGAAGTCGACTCGGAGTTAAACCCTTCGAATTTATGTTGTCTCCTTCCTTCTATAAACTTTCACCTGACCCCAAGAAATCTTTAGTACCTTCAATTTCTCGAAATTATTAAAGGCATAAACGATTAAGGTTACATATAATGGCAGGATGCGGTTTCACTTATATATAAGGATCAATTGCAGTGCTAGTTACAGTTCTACAGGGTCAGGAGGAAAATGTCGCCAAGACTGGCGACTTTTGGCCACAAAAATTAGTTGCTAAATCCATTGCCAGCTTGGTGATATCTCGCTAATTTAACGAGATAGCCGTTTACCTGAATGTTAAACAGATTTGCCTCTATAATGTTATTTTTCCGCCAGAGCTTCGTTTATCGAGGCACTTCATATTACAATACACAAGAGATAATATAATTTTGCATTAATTTCACTAAATTAATTACATATATGTAAAATTCGTAACACAGATTATTTATTAATGCTTTGCTTTCCTTAAAAGACTCGAATCTAGGTTAGGTTAGGTTATCTGAATATGTCAAAAGATACTAGTTCTATCTGCTTAAGAGGAGAGATGCCTTCGTGGAGGATCTTTCTAGAGGAAACTACCTTTTTATTCACATTACACTTGGGGAAAACCACAAAATCAGCCACGCAGCCAGCCCGTTCTCCGGGGATTGAATCCTGGTCGAAGTTTCAGTTTTCAACGGTCTTTAAATACTCGGCCACTCGTGGGGGAGGATACAAATACATAATAGAACCCTAAATTTCCAGATCTAAAATTCCATTATTTCGGAACATTTTGTCTATTTTCTAGGCGAAATAAAATAAAAATTTATATTAATTTAACTTTAGTACTTTTAAATCTTTCGTTGATTTAAGTACCATAAAACAATGCAAATGTAGACTGCTCAAACTAGTAGAGAATGTTGTGACATCGGTATGAAATAAACACATATAGTCGAGAACTTTTTTAACAAAAATGAAGTAGAAGAGGTTAAAAAGGAAATTTATGATGTTTTCCAAAGTTGGGAATATGTAAATTTTGTCTGTGGCGTCGAAAACTACGTGTTTTAAATAAGGAGTGAAAAACGACCTGAAGCAATCCTTCTGTAAGAGGAGATTAAAACCATTGACACGCATTGAATGTTTTGTAGCAATGAATATTGTGTCTCAGCAAGATCTAGGTGAATCGGCAGTCTGGAGGGCCATCGGTCGTTTAGAGGCGCGTCAAACGCAATTTGTTAACCATTAGAAGTGTCTAAAAGTATCCTTTCCAGACTGTGGAATCGGTTTTTGGAATGTTCACCGAAGATCAGAACAAGATTGTATGCCTACAACAACACAAAATGATGATTGGTATTTAACACTAACGGCCAGAAGAACTATAAACACCACTTTCTTGCCACAGCACCTTCAAAGGTCTACTGAAAATACTAGAGTTTCGACTCAAACTATTCGAAATCAACTCCATCATGTGAGTTTGTATTCTCGGAGAGCTACAGATTTTGTTTCGTTAGCATAGAACCAACTTGCTGCCCGCAGAAGGTGGATAAGAGCATCTCAGGTGAAGACAAGATGAATGGAGGAACGTACTCTTCACGAACAAGGTCCCGCTTTAGTGTACAACTTTATAATAAGCGGATTCTGTTCTGAAGAAAACTTGGTACACGGAATACTCCTGCATTTGTATATGGAAGTGTCCGATTTGGCGAAGACGTAGTGATGGTCGGGCCGTTACAGAAATATCTATCAACAGCCGCACCGACCTGTACATTATCAAGATTGGAACACAAACCGTTCAGCGATATAGGGAGGAGATTTTCAGACCTATTGTGCTCCTTTACGCTGCAGCGGTCGGGGATGAATTCATTCTCATAGACAATAACGCCAAGCCACATTGTACACAGTTAGTGGTTAATGTCCTTTTCGACGAAGGAATCTTTTAAATGGATTGGCTAGCATATTCCCTAGATATGAACCCAATATAACATGTTTGGGACATTCTATGGAGAAGGGTTGCTAGTCGCTTATCTCCCCAGCAAATATTTAGCAGTTTGAAAGCTGTCTTTTACATGAGTGGAAAAGAATGTCCAGTTCCTCTTTGATAACCTCATTGATTTCACGCTTCGTAGGTGTGCTCGACATTGCTTGCGGTCAAGGAAAAACATACCCCTTGAAACTCATTTGAATCCGAGAAATCACAATTATTGTTTGTATAATATGCACAAATTCGCATTATTTATTTATTTACAAACAAATATTGTCAATAAAATTTAATTATTCCTTGTTCATTGCTTCTTTTTCTTTTTTTCATATTGTACAGACATTAGGTTATTTCGAAGCAGAACATGAAAAATGAGGAATGCCCTCGCCGGGACTCGAACCTGGACCTCTCGAATACGCGCCGAGTATGCTGACGATTACACCACGAAAGCGAGATAAATACCTTATATACTCCCCCTTTAAAAGGCGACTGGGAATTAGGAGATCCCAATCGCCAAATCCTGGTGATGAAGAATCATCATCCACCAACTTCTGTAGTTCGGGCACCAATGCCCGAACCTGTGTCTCTCGAATACTCGCCGAGTGTGCTGACCATTTCACTACGAAAGCATGCTAGAAGGCGGGAGAAATACCTTATATTTTGCAACACCTATGTAAAAATACAGGGTGATTATAATTAAAGTTTAAGTTTCAAAACGCTATAAAAAAAGAACCACTCATGGAAATGACGTCAAATTTGAAAGGAATGTTATTGAAGAAGGCGGAAAGCGTATGGCAGAAGAAAAAATTTAGTTTCAAAAGTTAGCAACAGATGGCGCTGCAAGCGGAAGAAGACGTAAATTAAAATGTTAGTTAAATTTCAGTGTTATAAAGCCGCCAGGTACCAGGCTGTTCCTCATTTCGCGTCTCAGACGTTCGCCATGGGTGTTTCACTGCAGGACCGCGCTCTGCTGGTAAAGCTGTATTACAAGAATGATGATTGTGCAAGAGTAGCTCTGCAAAAATTCAGGACACTGAAGGGTATAAAAGAAGGCGTTGGTCCAATGAGTGTCGTAGGTCTAAAGAAAATGATGCAAAAATTCGAAACGACAGGTTCGTTTGATGTGCAATCTGGTAGAGGGAGAAAACGAGTGCATTCGACGGTAGTTGAAGAAGTGGCCACAGCATTACAGGAGGGGTCGGCCGGTGGTGTGCAACCGTGCAGTGCACGAGGAATTGCCCGAACATTGGACAGGCCTACGAGCACGGTGCTGAAAATTGTACGAAACATCCTGCAATGCTATCCGTACAAAATTGGCCATGTGCAGGAGTTGCTTCCGTCTGACCTGACAGCTAGGGAGACGTTTGCGTTAGAATT